CAGCAGACAGTAAAACATAAGATTATCTTTTAAAATCGGTTGAACACGGAGCAGTTTTTCCTGTGAGTGAGACTGGAAAACCCGTAGTGGATGAAAACGGAGTGATCGCTTAGAGTGCAGAGAGGAATTTGCATCCGCGCCGTTAGGAGCTCAACATCAGACTGTCTCGCATGCATGCACGATTGCTCTAGATTAGAGGATATTGTAACTAATTTGCGGTAAAACTAGTCGATCACGAGTGGCTCACCTGGTGAGGTCTTCGTTCATAGTCTGTCTGAGATATATTAGAAGATGTGTCTGTCATGGATTTGCACTGAACTGATTCTCAAAAACACGAAACAAAGTGCGTTCCGTATCAGTTACGGAACAAGACTTTTATGTGTCAAATACGGAACGATTCCGTATGATACGGAATCTCTATCACATCCTTCACCAGTAGGACTGCGATCTCTGCACACAGGACAGGAGAGTACTTGTCCACTAGTGAGGTAAACTAGATGCTGCTGAACCTGGGGGGAGGCCGGGCGAACTGAATCGCATAGCTAAGTTTGATTTTGAGTCTGAATGAGCCAGCAAGATGAGAAAGCACTAGTCAGACTTCCAGATGCATTACAAGGAGGGTCAGAGGGACTACCGACGCACTTGCAGTGGGGCAGCATGGGCACAGGGGCCGACCCGGAAGGCACATTTTCCGTTAGTGGGGACAGAGTGTGCAGTGCAACACCGTGCGGTGCCATGTTTTGGCAGGGGTCGTGTGAGAAGGCTAGCCTGGCTGCGCCCTCCTACGCACTTCCGCTCAATTTCATTTTACTTCTGTACTACGTCTGGGATCGCTCCATATCCTTAGGTTTCCAGAAATCAATTTTTTGTAGGACCAATCAGCGAATAGAGGGAGTGGCTGAGAAAGATGACGTTGATGTAAGCGCGTCAGTTTCAATTCAGTAATGGCAGCGGAGAAAGACGTGAGAAAAGCTATTCGGTGTGTTGTAGGAAAAGACACTGCCGAATATACAGAATTTAAAGCCGGATTGTTATCGTCTAACCTCTTGTTGCACAACTGAGGACCAAGTGAAGGAGGCAGAAAGTTTGGAAGTTTGTGCTGGGCAGTTCGTGCACGATGACCGTGACATTTTGGACGGACGGTTTAGCCTGGTGTTCGCGGTGTTCAGAAGCCCCGAGTCCTGGCTGCTAAACTATTGTTGAAGATCCGCTCAGGAGTCATGTCAGTCGCTCAGATTCCCAACTGTAAATTTACTGATTCTTGTGATGAATAGAACATTTTGAGCCCATTTGTGCACTCGTGCAGGAGGTTGGTGTGTCAGTTTTACATGTTGTAAATCATCCAAATTGGTTGTGATTTAAAAAAAAATAATTGTCATAAATAAAAATGTGAAAAACCATACTTTGAAGATATTTTTTTTGATAAATTTATTGATAAAGATAAATTTGATTTTCAGTTTTAGATGGCAATGGTTGATTTGTTTTACTAAAAAAAATAAATGCCACATAAAAATGTACAAACACATACTTTGAAGACCATAATTAAGGTAATTAAGAACCAATAAGACGTAATATGAAAAATTGTTGTTTATTACACATCTGCAGATAGAGACAGACTGATCATTCACTGTAGCTGCTACAGCATTTGCGGCAGATCAGAAACGACCACAGCGGCGTATTTGTAATGATTAGACACAGCTTCCACCGTTGAATGAATATATCACTGTCAAATGTCAAATATACATTTAGAATTAATAATTGTTCCTAGATTAACAAAACCTGCGGCGCTCGTTGACTGAAATCCTATTGTAAACATAATCCTCTGATCATTCGGACTTCTTGTTTCCAGCCATTTCGGCGCGTGACATACGTCACTCACGATACCCCGTTAGCGATTGGCTATGGCAGATCATGAGTGACTTTGGGCAGATCCAATAGATTTGAACTTTAATAGTGAACCCGCCTACAAGGAAGGAAACGTTTCTCAATGGAGCGGTTCCAGACTCTATGTGAAAATGAAATGAACTAGAGTCTGGTTGAACCAGGCTATGAGAAGGCATCCTCAAACCACACATCACTGCCTGCTGATGGGAATGATAGTGGCAAGGCACATTGAGATAGAGACCTGGAGATAGAGAAAACTGTTCTTTTACTGAGAATTTGGGTACCAAACTCAACAAAAGATTCTCAACCCGGTACCCTTTGGCAGCCCCACCATCCAGGGTAGTGAGAGAGGAGGAGGCGGCGTTTTCGTCAGAAAAAGATATCTTCCACGACTTTGTGACCTTCTCATGATACCAATCATCCTGCCTTGAGTGTTCGGGACATGCAGAAGGATTCAACTTGAGCCCGATGCTCTCAGCGGCCTGGAAAAGCATGGCCGTCAGCTCTGCGTCAGAGTCGAACAACAGTCCTCTTTCCTGAAGGGTGCAGCGCAGGTGAATCTTCATCCCTGGAGGACTCTAGCCCAGTGGTTCTTAACCTTTTTTACGCCAAGGCCCCCCACCTCTCTCAATCAATAGTGCAATGATTTAGTTTTAACTACAATGAATGCAGAAGGAAAAGCTCTTTTCAAAGCAACCACAGTTGACCCACCGTCAAATCAACACTCTGGAGAGCTCCTTTCGGCTTTGTAGAATACTGCAAATGGTTAACTAAACTGCTGCATCCAACAAAATGCTCGGCTCCGAAGCTAAAGCTAAAATGAGCGAGTGCTGTAAAGGGGGTCGCACACCGGGCGCGCAGCGCAGCGCCGCGTCGCGCAGCGCCATGTCTTCAAAATTCGAACACATTATTCTCTATGTGTGTACACACACCGGCGGCGCCATTCGGCGTCTGTCCGCGCCGCCCAGCTACGGCTCAGGACCGTGTTCAAAACCCTGCCGCGCCACAGAGCGCCATTTGCATAGTTTTATCAAACATAGCCTTTTTAAATCCATTTTTCAATAGGTACTCTATCATATTAACCATACACTAACTGGGTTATTATTATTATTAAGTAGCCTAGCAGTCTAAACCCATAAGTGCGAAATATTAATGCATGCGATGTAAGGTTTGCCTCACGTGGTTCACGGTCGTGTAGAGCCACCTATTGGATTTACCAGGTCACAACACACTTCAGGTACTTTCTGTAGCGTAGCAGTGGAGCGAAATGGACGAAGAAAAACTCGTCAATGAAGTAGGGAGTAGTATGAAGGAGTAGGGAGTAATCAATGAAGTAGTTGCCTAGACAACGGATAACGTTACAACAAAATAACAGACTTAACAAGGTGATAGACACTTTTACTTGGTTAATAACGTTCAAACATCAGCTATTTTATTCACTTAACATAAAATATATAATACATCCAGTTTAAACTCACCCATTTTGCAGCTCTTGACTCCTACCAGGAGTTGATTCAAAACTGAGCTCGTGCGAATAGAATTTGCGCGTCCGGTGTGCGATACCTGTGAATTGTTCTAGACGTGGCGCGACGCGACGCGGCGCGGCGCGGCGCTGCGCTGCGCGCCCGGTGTGCGACCCCCTTAAGTGTCCTTTTATACCCACTTCACGAGGAGTGGTTCGCGATGCAAATCTCGCTCACAATGTTCTGTTTACACTCAAAGGTGATTGGACTCTCAGACAAGATGCCAATTCATCAGTCACCGGATGTAACGTCAAACTTGACTGACTGATGAGTATGGGTCTTACATTTCAAGAGCACATGCCCTTCTTCATTTTAATTCCTAGGGTAGAGATGATCACTTCTTTATACGTGTAAATGAGTAAATTAAGAAAACTAATTAAAGTGTTTAAAGTCAATTAAATAAGTTTATTCAATGATCAGGCCCGACGTAAATCAATCAGAAAAGGATCGGTCAGTCACAAGCTGTTAATCACACAATTTTCCACTAAATTATAAAATGTTAGGAAGGCCTGTAATACATTGTGAATGGGAACATTGATATTTGCTTCAAACTATTTATAAAGTTAGCATTGATTTTGTAGAGGAACACAATGTACAAGCCTGAATGATCTGCAAGATGTTTTTAGGGTTGTTTACAAAATTGTGCATTACATCCAAATTATGTGCAAAAATGCTAATGAGTGATTTGGTATTTACTTCAGGCACTAAACGACAGCCGATTCACCATTTTTCACAGAATAATTAGAAAGATAATAGTAAAAATGTGTATCGTGGTTCATTCAGAGGTGGAAGTAACGAATTACAACTACTCAGATTACTGTAATTAAGTAGTTTTTTCGTGTACTTGTACTTTTATGAAGTATAATATATCTGTAAATATATAATATTATATATGTATAATATAATATCATTTTTGAGAGGGGTACTTTGTACTTTTACTTAAGTACATTTTTAACACCAGTACTTTTGCTTGTAATCGAGTATTATTTTAGCAACTACTTTTACTTGTACTTGAGTACAAATTTTCAGTACTCTTTCCACCTCTGGGTTCATTTTATTTTGGCTACAGCTGGATTTTAAGGCAAATAAGAACTTCAACAAATATTTTGTCAGTGATTTATTTAGGGTGATAATCAGGAGGCAATGATGGACAGAGGCCAATTGGGTAAATTTGGCCAGGAGGCCGGGGTTACACTCCTACTCTTTCAAAGGATTTTTAATGACCACAGAGGTGGCCATTGGGTCTGTGAAAGTGCTATATAAAATGCAGTCCAATGCAGTCCATCCCCTTGAGGATGTATAACGTCACATGTTGTCATCTCGCAGCTACGATAATAACAACAAACCGTGAACGCAGCATTTGAGCCTAAAACAGTGGTGTCCAATAATGCCCATGAGGGTGCATGTCCTGTAGAGTTTAGTGCCAACCTGCCCCAACACTGGAGTCTGGAAGTTTCTAGTAATCCCAAAGTAATCCCAACCATGATATGTTTATTCAGGTGTGTTTAATTAGTGGCCAATCTCTGCAAGACAGTGATCCTTCAGGAGTTGGATTGGACACCACTGCCCTAATCTATCTAATTCAGTGGATACCTGTTTCTCCATCATGGCCTTCTCATATTCAGCCTGAACTACATCCAGCTCTGCTTGCTTAGCATCCAGTTCTGCCTGGGCTGTCTGGAGGTCCAAATTAGCTATAGTCAGCTTGTTCTCCTGCACTGCCAGATTAGCCTGAGGGTGATGGAGAAAGAGAGAGTCGTAAATGATCCAACTCCTGGAAAACCATAGGTTATTAGGAAACAAGAAATACTTTTCCACTGAACAAAACCGCTATTTTTTTTTTCTCAGTTGCACACAGCATTTGTGTTTCAATTTTCAAATTGTCACACTTTGGAGTTTTAGAGTTTTTCCTTTAATTTTACATTTAAAGCCTCAAGATGTTGCTTTTTAAAAGCTTTTACCTACAATTACTAGTCTGAAGAAGTTAAGTATTTGGGGAGTTGGGGGTTGCTCCTGAATATAAGAGGCATGAGTATTTTCAGTATGTTTCATCAAAAAAAGAAAGAAATACATGCGCATATCTGCAAAAGGTGGTCAATTTGTTCTAGGAAATGGAATATACTATTGAGAATGAGGAGTCACGTGCCTATTTGGACGGGGTCTGAGCCGGTCGGCCATGATGGTAGGAGACGCTATCGGTTACCAGGGGCAACGCCTTTAGAACCCATAGACACGACTAAACATTCCTCTTAAATTTTCGCGCATTTATTATTTTGGCAGGACAGAGACGGATCTAAGAATACGAGAAAAAAAGGAAGAAAGTAAAGCAATGCTAAAAGGTAAGGCGAAAGAAAAGGGACAAACTCACACAAAGTACAAAACAGCTGTATTTGGAGAAGCACCATCAACATATTTGTTCTTTTGCTCTAATAACATTATTATTATTTTATTATTATTACTTATGTTATCCATGAAACTTATGTTGTCCAAATAGCCCATTTCAGTTCTCAATAAATATTGTTAAGCCATATCAAGTTGTTTCAAACATTTATTTCAATGAAATAAAAAAGTAATGAACAAGTCACTCATACAACACTTCGTTAAGGCACAGCAAACAGTGAAAATCGTATGCTAAAGGCATCAGCAAACCTAGCAATCCGGCGTCTCCTCGTTAGATCAGACTCTCCCTGCTGTGTCAATTTCTGTAACCCCAAAAACCATTGTTCCTATGTTTTCCATATGTATCGTGTGAGTTACTGGAGGAGTTTTTCACGCAGCAGTTACTTCCAGGCATGGTAAAACAGTGCGGTATTGAGAGAAACTCCTCTACTACCGAGCTAAAAACACACATAATCAATACTGTTTTGCCGTGGGAATCCAACCAACATGGCGGAGAGGGGAGGGGCTCTGTAAAATGATGTCAACTCCTCATTCTCAATTGAAGCTAACAAACATGAACTAACAGCAGCTAAAATCTACAAATGTGCATCTGAGGCTTCAAGCAACCAATTGAAATTAAACTATTATATCAAAAGATGATACAATAATAAATGATGACTAAAAGCATGTAAAGAATAATCAAATAATAATAGAAATTCATCGAATAAATCATGGTTTTCACAGTTTAAATTATGGCCTGTTAGTAAAGAAAAAAAAACTGATAACTTGACAGAGTTGCATTATTTGAAAAAAATATCAAGTGATCTCACCTTCAAGGGAAGCACTTCTTTATTGATAGAAAAGAAGGCAGCCATTGCTTTGGTCCAGGAGCAAAGACCTGCAACATTGCCGCACACCCTCTTGGCTGATTCTATGTTAAAGTCTGCCATGTCAAAGTAAGGAGAGAGGAGTTCAACCACCTCTTCATTGATGGTGTCTTTGGGGAATTGCTGGAGAACAAAACAAAAGCTGGAGTAAAACAATACTAGTGTACATGTCACAGTCTTCGTCTGCACCTGTCTGTCTTAGTCTTCACTACACTTCCCAGAATCCTTCTCGTCTCCACTCCTAAACTCACTCCCTCAATAATCCACCAGTTCATCGTCATTATCATCTGTGTCTACCTGTCCTCACCTCATTAGTGTTCATTTGTATCTTTATTTAGTTCCCTTCAGTCTGGGTCAGTTCTCTTCTATGTTACTTGGTTTATATGTTGGTGTTACTTGGTTTAGTGTGTATCTCTTTTGCCTGCTAACCTGTATCTGTATTTTGGAATTTAGTAAACGTTTTGAATTGGAGCCTTTGACTCTGTCTGCCTTCTTCTGCCAGCACCACACCTGTGACAGTACAGGATATGTCACATATTTGAATCTCTTGAAAATGACAATATTATTTGATATTTGAAAAGCTCTTTTCCAAAATGCGATAAACGCCATTTTGAAAAAAAAAATGAGTTTGTCGTGTCATTCTGCTGTGGACAGAACCCTTTCACTGCTCCATCAACGTTTCATGCCAAATCGCTATATTTCCTTGTTTAAAATGTACGGCAAGATACAGTTTCTTTCCAAAATGCGATAAGCGCCAGCCCTGTTTTTAACCAAAACGTGATAAATCCTCGAATTCGATGCAATCCAGCACGGCGGCACTCTGAACAGAGGTTTGTTTATGTTCATTCATTCCTCAAAATGAGTCCTAGTTTTCTAGTCGACTAGAAGTAGATCACTTAAGCCATTTGTCTAATCAGTAATCATATATTGATTTAATTAAATAGGAGAGAAACCATATGAGCGTATTTAATTGCCTTTTCCGCATCTTAACGCATGCATAAAGCTTGCCACAAAGAACCGGCAAAAGTAATGATTATGCATGAAACATTTGAATTGTTTATTAATAAACTAGTGTTTTCTGTCAGTGTCAGCAGCAAAGATAAAGTTAATGATGCTTATCTTGCCATCTTCGCAGTGAACGCGCATAGAAACGCATACTTCGAATTAGCCTACATACGCAGAGAGTTGCCAATTTATTTTCGTTTTTAATTGTTTTGTTTAAAAGTAGATATTTAAAGCTTTCTGTAGCTTAGTTCTCAGGTCTGTGAGGCATCGCGGTGTTTCGGTTCATAATATGAGACGCGCTCCGGTTCACCTGCGCACCTCTGTGTCCTGATTATATTGTCTGATATTTGCTTCTAATGTTTTAATCCAGTCAATTTGTTGATGAAACATTTATTAAAATGAATATACAATTTATATCAAATGAAATTTACAAGCTTTCTACAAAACAAAACTTAATAAGTGGTCAAAATCATGTCTGACCCAATCCAAATATTTTCCGATATTGGGCAGCTTTTGAATTTTGATCCTATCTCACTCATCTCATGCGGTTCCCTTTTCATAGCCTACTCAACATAGATGAAATAAGTAACGTAATATTATTAAACACAAATGTGAAACGTATAGCCTATGTTTATTTTATGTTTTTTTTTTTTTTTTACTTATATTTAAGCGTCACGCCACTCCGCTTTGCTCACATGCTATGTAGCCTATACATGTGTGTGCATGTGCTGGAGGGGTGCCCATCCCTTTTTTGAATATATCGTTATCATTATTGATCACTTTTTAATAATTAGGTTTTCATGCATATGTTGAAATTGGTACTATTTGTTTGAGGTTTGACACTTTACTAAATGACTTTACTAAAAATGATACAAAAAAAATTGATGGATTTATAGCGTTTTGAAAAAAAAANTTGAAGGATCAATTGCAACTAAATTGGCCCGAGTGTTGTTCAGCTAATAGGATTACTCCCCAGACTACCACCGGTCTCTCTCCGCTGAAATGTTACAAGGACGAAAATTGCGGTGCTCTCTGGACTAGGGCTGGGCGATATATCGAACGATATTGTTATGCGCATCTAATCAGTAAAGCCGGTTCCTTGATTAGCAGTAAATCACCTTCACATGCTTTCAAATGGACGATATGAGTGTTAAAGTTAATGAGATAATTAAGTGATTAATTTAGTGATGATTGAGCATTATTGAAGACACCTGATGATCACAAGCAGAATCGCTAAAGGACAAAATCACAAAATTGTAAGTCACCGTTATGGAGATCAGTGTCTGCTTTAGTTGGGCTCTTGACACTTATACTTTCACTTTAAATTTTGTGTCTGCTGTTATTGATTAATAACAGTCAAATAAGACATATTTGATCTTATAGTGTTGCTATGTTTTGACATAGTCATGCTGTGGTCTGTAAAATGAAACTTTTCAGATGATTTGGCTTAGCTTGTTAGCAACATTTTAGTGATTGTACGGCATATCTGTATATTTCTTATAACCTAAAATAATTAATAAATATTATTCTGATCAAATCACTTTCATGCCTATTCAGAAACACAGAGATCAATAATCAGCCTGTCTATCTCAACTGTGGTGGCGATATTAATCATTGTTGCCACCCATCACAACTCATAAATGGCTCCCATCATGCATTGCGGTTTGAATAAATTATGATCTGAATTGTCGATGTAATTTACTTTTCCTACTTGAATATTCTACTCGTCACCGTTGTTGAGAAGCATTGACTGAATATTGAGGTCTGTGTGCCTAAAGGAAAGGTTTTTTTTCTTTAAGCAACTTTTGAGAAAAACTGTCTATTATTTTTAGCATTCTGGCCATTTATTCAGAATCTAAGTCATACACTAAGCCACAGAATAAATTATATGTTATACATTTTATAAATAAATTTAGAATAAATTTTATTATAAATTTCATTATAAATTATATATATAATGAGATAAATTTCAAATGACAAATGTCATTATATGACCACAATCATGTTATTATTGTTAATTTTTGTTCATCTGATAGATATAACTCAGATACAACAGCAAATTAAAATATAAAGTTAATATTATAAGGGTGAAGAGCCCAACTAAAGTAAACACACTCATCTCCATAACGGTGGCTTAAAATTTTAGATTTTTTCCTTGTGATTCTGCTTTAGGTGTCTTCAATAATGCTCAATCATCACTCATTTAATCACTTAATTATCTCATTAACTTTAACACTCTTGAGTGTGGACTCATATACACTCCAGGTGTGTTAGTTTAACACGGGAGATTTCGTCGTGACGAAGAGCCGTAGTTCACTGACCAGCTGAGCCATATCGCATTAAATATCGATATCGATATGTCCTCGATAATAACGCGATTTGGCTCAGCTTGTCAGTGATCTACGGCTCTTTGTAGTGAATGCCGCTCCATCTGAAAGCAGGTGAAGGAGATTTACTGCTAATCAAGGAACCGGCTTTACTGATTAGATGCGCATTCAATATCGTTCGATATATCGCCCAGCCTACTCTGGACTTTTTGCATCCTGATTTGACTAGGAAGATTAAAAAACCAACAACAAAAGCAAAAAGCATATCATGACAAGAAGGGCCATGAACGTAGTTTTTGTGTGGGATATCCAGTGCTGGTTCGCAACTTTAGCTATGGACCGAAATGGATTCCGGGAAACATAGAGACTGTGACTGCCCACATAGCAAACAGATCCGGAACGGATCTGCCGCGGAGGTAAGAACCAGGTCCGGAACGGAGTCCACTTGCACAGCGCAACGGATCCGGAACAGATCCGGATTGCGGATCCAGACTAGATCCGCGGCAGACCCTATCCGGATCCGATCTGGACCCGTTCATTTCGGTCTGAAAACCTTTCAGATCACTCATTCAAAACTAGTAATCTGGCCAAAACTACAAAAATATTTCAAATCTATTGGTGGGCCAACATTAGATAGACTGCGCACTAAACAACATGATGTCCAAAAGATGTCTTTTCAACGTCTGTGTCACAAAAGTCGTATGCTGAAAAGACGTCCACTGAGGAGCCAGAATTAAAGTTTTTATGACGTGTTTTTTTGACGTGTTCTGCACGTCCGATGTAGACGTTCATCAAACCTTCGTACACGTTTAAAAACTAGGTCAAATGTTGGCCATTGAGTTTAAAACTCATGTTTATATCAATGTCATTTCCTTACATTGTTTAGATGAGGTTTAGATGTTGATATGTTTCATTTTAAGAAACCATTGTGGTGATGAGTGTTTGCTTTAGTTGGGCTCTTGGTCCCAATTCTTCTTACTTTAACTTCTCTTTGGTTGTTGTAACTGTGTGTTTGTATAACACTATTGTTGTTGCATAGAAAGCCAAGAAAAAGTAAAAATGGCTGTCATCGGCTCCTTGTTGATGACAAAAACACAAAGCGAGCTTTTAATGATGTGTAGACTTTTGTCCTTATATCTGCGGTTTATAACCACCTATTTTGTGGAACTGCGTTATTTGGACCAGCACCATTACAGTTGTTGCTTATTTGAAGGTCAATAAAAATCATGTGTTCTCAATGTTTTGAGTAAATATGTCACATAGTCACACACAGACATCACGATTTTGCATATGATTCTCAATAACGGTGACAACCAAAACAAAAAAAGCTTGGGAATCAAGGATTTTTTGTACTTTGAAAACTACCCATCATGCATTGCAGCATGAAGCTTTTTTTATTGTCACCGTTCTTGTGATACATACGCAAAATCTTGATGTCTGTGTGTGACTATAAGGCAAATTTCCTAATAACATTGTTTAACAAGCTTTTTTATTCATCTTCAAATATGTGCTAATTTTTATGGTAGACAAATAACACAGTTCCACAAGATAGGTGGTTATAAATGCAGAAATAAAGACTAAAGTCTAAACACAACATCAAATGCTCACTTTGTGACATGATAATCAACAAGCTGATGTCAGCATCTCACTTTTTTTTGGCTTTCTGTGCAACAACAATAGTGTTATACAAACACACAGTTACTACAACCAAAATAAAGTTAAAGTAAGATGAATTGGGACCAAGAGCCCAACTAAAGCAAACACTCATCACCACAATGGTTTCTTAAAATGAAACATATCAACATCTAAACCTCATCTAAACAATGTAAGGAAATGACATTGATATAAACATGAGTTTTAAACTCAATGGCCAACATTTGACCTAGTTTTTAAACGTGTACGAAGGTTTGATGAACGTCTACATCGGACGTGCAGAACACGTCAAAAAAACACGTCATAAAAACTTTAATTCTGGCTCCTCAGTGGACGTCTTTTCAGCATACGACTTTTGTGACACAGACGTTGAAAAGACATCTTTTGGACATCATGTTGTTTAGTGCGCAGTCTATCTAATGTTGGCCCACCAATAGATTTGAAATATTTTTGTAGTTTTGGCCAGATTACTAGTTTTGAATGAGTGATCTGAAAGGTTTTCAGACCGAAATGAACGGGTCCAGATCGGATCCGGATAGGGTCTGCCGCGGATCTAGTCTGGATCCGCAATCCGGATCTGTTCCGGATCCGTTGCGCTGTGCAAGTGGACTCCGTTCCGGACCTGGTTCTTACCTCCGCGGCAGATCCGTTCCGGATCTGTTTGCTATGTGGGTGGACCAGTTTCTTATAAAGTGATGCTGGGCGATGGGAGAGTGGTCCGAAGACATGTGGATCAGATTCATGGCCGACAGGAATTGCTTGTGAAACATTCCAGGGAGGAAATGGACAGTAAATCTCCTGATTATGACTTTTTTGACAACTCTGCTACTGTGAGTTCTAAAGAGATGGAGACCACAGGGGCTGAGGACATTCAGGGGGAAGTTGATCCCTTTGAAGTATCTGAGGATTCTTCTCAAGCTGCTGAGATAATAACTGAAATGGACAAATCTGTTAGTCCTGTTGTGATTATGAGGAGGTCACAGAGAACCAGGAAATTGCCTGGCTATTTGAAAGATTATGAAATTAGTTAAAAAGAAAAAAAATGAAAAGAAAAAAAAAAATGAAAAATTGTAAAAAAAAAAAAAAAAAAAATGTAACTGTATTGTGGGCACATGATGTTATAGATGTTGATTATATTGTAAACTTAGGGGGAAAGGAATGTTGTAGAGTGAGTTTTTGTAGATTAACCTGTAGGGGGCAATCTAATGTATTTTGGCTTTGTGCTTAAGAGTAGCAAAGAAGAAACTGTTAGCAGACATGTGTTCCACCTGGGGTGCTTCTCATTTCTTATTTGTGCATCCTCGTTTCCTTCCCTTGCTTCCTTTCCTTGCGTCTCAGCTCCACCCCCTGTAGGACGCGAGGGAAGGAAGCGAGGAAAGGAAAGGAGGACAGAGGAATCGAATAAAAGCTTTTTTATATACATTGGAATTCTTGATCACTCGAGCGTCACTCCACAGTGTCATCAGCAGCGCTAAAAGGACCTGCCCTTATGATGTTGAAGTTTGGTTATTTAATAAATTCATAATAAATAATAATAAAGATAGGCTATACTGTTGAAATATCTGAGATGTGTGGTTTATATAAACTGCAAAGGTAAAGTATAAATTAAAATGATTGTGACCGATGTGAAGGGGGAGGAGAATTGACACGTGCGTCACGTTTAGTCAATATAACAGTTCCGCGTAGGATGCACCTGTGTATCCTCGCTTATGACTCCTCAGGAAGCCTCCTATCTCCTCGATCCTCGACTCCTCACGGTGCAATTAGAGAATTGAGATGTCCTTCAAGATGGCTGAGCTCGATCGGTTTCCGGGTCATAGGAGGGAGGACGGAGGAGCGAGGAGACGAGGAGGGATATTGAGAAGCACCCCTGGACTGTGCTCAAGTGTACTGCTGGCTTGATGTGCTTTGAGTAAATGAACTGCATTGAACGGATTTGTCTCCTGCAAGTTATTACAAACACATTTTCATCGTCGATTTTTTTTCAGTTCAGTTCATCTTTAATGCAACAGCTTACATGTAAAGCACTTTTCATTACTGTTGTATATGAGATGCGCTATTTTACACTGAATGTGCTATAAATAAACTTACCTTGCATTTCCATCGTGAGGTCACGGCGCGCCGACTGATCTCCGCGAAAACACCACTCAGAATCATGAGCCTTAAGTCGTTCTTTTCAGTTCGTCTAGACGATTCCAATGATCTCGGAGTGAGATAAATCCGTCGAGTTTTCGCAGAGATATTTGTGTTTTCTTTAGTTTGAACAGGGCGCCGCCATGTTTGCCGTGACGTCACCCCGCGCTCACCGATCTCCGCGAAAACACAACTTTAAATCATGCAATTTGTATCATTCTTTTCAGTTCGTCAAGACAATTCCAACGAGCTGGGTCTTAGCCAAATCCGTCGAGTTTTCGCTGAGATATCTGTGAATCTGTGTTGTAGCGGTGCTTGAATACAGGGCGCAGCCATGTTTGTTTGATGCAAAGCACGCTGGGATATGTAGTGCTGGCTCGTATAGCGCTAATGCTCCTGTTGAAAGAAAGAACTTCAGTTCCCATAATGCATAGCTTAGTACGTTGAACTACTGTAAATACTGGTTGTGTTGCAAATAGATTTAAAATATGAGAAAGTAACAATAAGAACAAAATCAAACAAATGTTTACGGGAAATTGTTACTGTAAATAGATCTCTTTACTTTGAGTTAGGGTTAGGAACGCTGTTAAACACTGTTAAGTGGAAATAACAGATGAATAAAGTTACAAATAATTGTCTTTTTGATGTTTATTTCTTTGCAGTGTGTCTGTGTTACTGTAGATTTGAGTTAAATACAGACATTTTAGAACAGCAAACACAGTGAGTACACAAGCCTGGGGTGAGTTTAACGGCGCCGACCTGAACTTTACTCTGTAGCCTATTATAAAATAAATGAACAAGATACAGAAAATTGAATAGTAACACATTAAAGTGCAGGTCTCAAGCTTTCAACAGAAGTGTAAAAAATGTCTGTAGCATAAACACTGACTGAGATGCATTCATTTTAATAGGAAAATCAAAGTTGAAAACTGGGAAACTGCTCCCAGATTTTCACCACAGCAAAGAGGTCAGCTAACCCAATGAGGTCTCATTCGCTCTATGAACATGATAAAGCCAAATAAGTATTTAATTATGAAAGGACACATAGCTTTATTTTGAAGTAAAATACATGACACCATCTCATGAATTGGCAGAATAAAAGACATTTTGGAGTGAGAAACCTGAAATTACCAGCAGGAAATGACATACACAGCGCAGTTTGTGGCGGTCTCTTCACTTCTCTGACCAAGTTACAGCTTAATGATTATCAGCACTGATAAGTACAGAATTCACTGATTAATTTGATGCAAAAAAGCAGAAAGAAAGTTTGAGATTTGAGTTAAATACAGACATTTTAGCACAGCAGAGACAGTGACGACAAAGGCCTGGGGTGAGCTCAACGGTACCAGCCTCAACTTTACTCTGTATTATCAACTCCCTGAAAAAGATACAGAAAAATGAATGCAAACACATTAAAGTGCAGGTCTCAAGCTTTCAATAGATGTGTAAAACATGTCTGTAGCATAAACAATGACTGAGATGCGTTCATTTTAATAAAATAATCAAAGTTGAAAACTGGGAAACTGCTCCCAGATTTTCACCACGGCAAAGAGGTCAGCTAACCTGACGACCTCTCATTCCCTCTATGAACATGATAAAGCCAGATAAGTGTTGGATTATGAAAGGACACGTACTCAGCTTTATTTTGAAGCAAAACACATGACACCATCTCATGAATTGGCTGAATAAAAGACATTTTGGTGTGAAATTACAGGCGGAAGATGACATTGACAGCACAGTTGGAGCCGGTCTCTTACCCTCTCTGACCAAAAAACAGCATAATTAGTGTTGGCACCAATAAGTGTAGTACTCACTGATTAATTTGCTACAAAAAGCAGAAAGAAAGCTTGAGATTTGAGTTAAATACAGACATTTTAGAACAGCAGACACAGTGAGGACACACTGTATTTTGTTTGCACACTTTATTAACTTGAAACTGTTTTCACAAGAAAAACACACTCATCACATGGTCAAACACACGTCACACAAAACTATATAAAAGAATTTATATACACTGCATGTTGTTTGCATATTTTATTAACAAATATCCCCGACTAAGCAAGCGAAAAGGCGACAGTGGCAAGGAACCAAGACTCCATCAGATTGGATGGAGAAAAAATCCTTGGGAGAACCCAGCCTCAGTCGGGGCCAGTTCTCCTCTGGCTTACATTCATATTGTTTTAATAGAAGCTTTACAGTAAGTGTATATCAGGAAAGTACATGGAAAAAAATACATTTAGATAATCATGTAATATTATGGGCATAACATATCGCCGGCGTTGAGTCGTCTCTTCACAGGCGTTGGTCTTCTCATCACAGGCGTTGGGGCATCTGAAGTCTCCAGAGGCTGGATACAAACTGGAGCTGACGAACCCCTATTTTCTCGGGACAAGCGTCCCGAGATAACAGCAGAAAGGCAGAGGGGAAATAATTAGCATAGCTGATGTTCATAATATTAATGCATTTGATCTGATTCAGTAGTAGTATAAAAGGTGAGCAATATGTGAATGATTGGTTAAAGAGATACGTAACTTTATGGAAATGGTTCTCCCGTTCTGGCTCGTTCTCAGCATCCCTCAAGGAGCTCTGAGGAGCCGACGATGGAAGGAGACACTGTCCTGGGATGCCCGGGTAGAGTGCGTGGCGCCCTATTCAAAATCCTGCTGTGGTAAACCAAAAAAAAAACAAAAAAAAAAAAACAACAGGTTATTTTACGAATGTACAGTGAGCTTACAATAAGTACTTTACTCTACTTACAATACAGTCTGTCTGGGTTGTCAGTTCACAATGAGGCTCCATTTAAATTTGTCACACATGGTCTGTGAGAGGCAAGCAGACGTCAGGCAAAATCACAGTCTGAAAAAATAGAGTCTGTCCGGGTTGTCAGAGATCCAACCACTCCAGCTCCAGGACGTAGATCAAACTCAATTATTTCATTGGTCACACTGAGGCTCCATTTACATGAAACTACAATGTTTAGACGCTATTGAGGCTCCTTTTACATGAACATCAAGTCCATACGCAAGCTCCCAATTTTGTCCAAACATTGATAGTCCATACGCAAGCTCCCAATTTTGTCTAGACATCTATAGTTCATTCGTGAGCTCACAGTTGACAAATAAAACATTGATAGTTCATACACAGTTCCCAGTGTCATAAAATGTGACACAAATGGTCTGTGAGAGTCCAGCAAAATCTAGTCCTTAAAACAGGAATCAAAAGTCCAGCCACTCCAGCCTGATGAAGGCCTTCTCAACCATCCAGCCAGTCCAGGTGTAGGCCCTCTCCACGGAAGGACTTCCTTTTGACCCCGTAGTCGAACCGTAGTTCAACGCCCACACTGATGTCCTTCAGTGCCCTGAAGAGGATGACGTCCTTGTCCTCCCCATTCACACGTAACCTGCAGTGAAAGGGCTTCAGGTTGGGCGCTTTTGTGGAGTGGTTTATCCTCCTCCCAACGGTGTCTTTGCCAGGGTGGCACTCGCACGGAAAGGTCTGGGCGTCGACGCAGAGATCTCTCTTTCCGGCTTTAACTGTCGTTCTTTGAAAAAGTCTGAGTTGCCACGACTCCTAAAAGAATGAGAACACATTACATTTTTTAATTAATGAACAAACATTATGTCACAGGTTGGGATGGCCCCCCCTGTTGCAGACCACCCCTATGAGCGTACCACCTCGAGGAGTTACCCAGAAACACCACGACCACAAACAAGGTATCAAATGTAAAAGGATTTTATTGAATTAAAATTTCGTAAACTAAAACTGGATGTTTCTTCTTCTTGGCTGCTAGGGGTAAGATTAGAGCGGATGCTGATCTGGAATTCACACAACAGCTCCTCCTCAGACAGCCAGGGGTAAGTATAGAGCAGATGCTGTTCTGGAATTCACACGGCAGTTCCTCTTCAGACAGCCAGGGGTAAGTATAGAGCAGATGCTGTTCTGGAATTCACACGGCAGTTCCTCTTCGGACAGCCAGGGGTAAGTATAGAGCAGATGCTGTTCTGGAATTCACACGGCAGTTCCTCTTCAGACAGCCAGGGGTAAGTATAGAGCAGATGCTATTCTGGAATTCACACGGCAGTTCCTCTTCAGACAGCCAGGGGTAAGTATAGAGCAGATGCTATTCTGGAATTCACACGGCAGTTCCTCTTCGGACAGCCAGGGGTAAGTATAGAGCAGATGCTGTTCTGGAATTCACACAGCAGTTCCTCTTCAGACAGCCAGAGGTAAGTATAGAGCAGATGCTGTTCTGATTTAGGACAGGGAAGTCAAACAGCAATGCATAAACATTTCACAAGTCGTCTTCAAGTCAATCGTATGTATGTACTCCAAGCAGGTGGCTGACTTCAGCATGAGAGACTCGGTGGGCAGATTCAGGCTTTCAATATGAGAGACTCAATGGATAGGTGCTGGTTCTGATTTAGGACAGGGAAGACAAACAGCAATGCATAAACATTTCACAAGTCGTCTTCAAGTCAATCGTATGTATGTACTCACAGCAGGTGGCTGACTTCAGCATGAGAGACTCGGTGGGCAGATTCAGGCTTTCAATATGAGAGACTCAATGGATAGGTGCTGGTTCTGATTTAGGACAGGGAAGACAAACAGCAATGCATAAACATTTCACAAGTCGTCTTCAAGTCAATCGTATGTACGTACTCACAGCAGGTGGCTGACTTCAGCATGAGAGACTCGGTGGGCAGATTCAGGCTTTCAATATGAGAGACTCAATGGACAGGCGCTGGTTCTTATTTAGGACCGGGAAGTCAAACAGCAGTGCATAAACATCTCACGACTCCTCTTCACACTGGATGGACTGGAGGCACAATCCTGCACAGTGCATACTCAGCACACAGTAAGGGGTTAATTCTGGAATAGGACGGCTGGGGGCACGAACAGACACAACAATCCTCACCCCAGTGCAAACATCAATCACTTCAAATAATCATATGTGATCACTCCACACTAGTC